CTACGGAAGCCGGCAGACCAAACCAGATGAAAGTGCGCATTCAGACACAATGAGACTTGATAAACATATCATACCATGCTGAAAGAACTTTTTTGGAGAAGTAATTAGTAAATATGACTAGTTACTTTTTTAAGTAATTTGCACAACATTGACGGCCCAGTTTTAAATCTGAGCCCATATCTATATCTAGAAGAAAAATAGGACTGAGACTCAAAAATAGGCCCAACCCTATCATCTTTAAACAAAGGCATTGATAGCAGCAATCCAGTTGATATTTCTCTCCAGGATGGTGAAACAGCAAAAAATTATATATAAGATGAAGCTACCATGAAAAAAACAAACAACAACAAAAAACAGAGAGCATATAAAATTATGGGTGGAATTTAACAAATACCACAAAAATGGGAGAATAAAGGTACAATGAAAAATGGTGATGTAAAGTGGTCCCTCCAGCAGTCTAAGCCTATAGACTATAGATATCTCAGGATAACCTGACTACTTTACTCTAATCATAAACCTTATCAAAAAGATAAGTGTTAAGCCTAGTCTTAAAAGTAGACAGGGTGTCTGCCTCGCAGACTAAAACCGGTATTTGGATCCACAGGGAGCCTGATAACTAAAAGATATGCCTTAAAATTCTACTTTTATATGCACCTACACCATCTTGTAAAGGTTTTTACACCTTTAAGCTTTCTCTCCCCAACTTTTTTCAAGAAAGATTGGGACAAACTCTTTAAATAACACTCCATAATGTATATGCTTTAAAATAACCATGAGACATGACAATAGATTTTATCAGAAATTATAATCTTACTCAAACCAGAGAAATTACTGATATATACGGATTGCAGCGCTTACCAACCAGGCTGGCTTCTCCAAGAAATTGGCCCCCGAATCACAGTTAAAGAAGCATTTTATACAACTCCAGTATGCCACTTCCTCAAATCATTTAATCATACATGTTTTTAAAGGAGGGGACATCCATGGCTCCTATGTTATGAAAATATTCCACTCAAGGACATTGCTCTCATTCTATTCCCAAGTCTAATGAAGATGACTTTTTATCCCGACTGAACTGTCCTAAGTAGATAAACTGCTTGGGAAAACATCAGTTTTGACATGTAACAGGCAGGTATTATTAGGGTTTAACAGACTCACTCATAAATAAGAATAATCCAATCCTCGATCTTCTAGAAACCACTGGTCCTCTTTTTCATATTTGATCAAGCATTAAATGGCTGTATATATATGTATATATATATACACATGTATATATATATATATATATATATATATA